AAGGTAACTTTGTAGACGTCATGACGCACGTACCACGTACTACGTATTACGTACTGAACGCACGCTGAGGTCCTGAAGCGCCGTTGGAACTTCGTGAAGGGCCGGTAGGATTTATTTTTAAAACAAATAATTAGATTGAACCTTCCCTTAAGCATCTTATACTGCATCTTTAGGGGAGATGTACCTTTTCTGTTTTTAGGACCCATTTCAGACTCGAAACTAGAAGTTAACAGCTTGTTTATGTCTTAACTTTAGCATGAAAGCTAACGTTGCTAGCTATAGGGCTAAAATACAAGTTCCATTCATTCTTTCCATCTGATATTAAACTTGAGTCAGCAGTGTAAATCCTTGATACTGAAATACAACACAATTGAAATTTTGGGGGGAAAACAGTCGTTGTATTTGTCCTAAGATAAGGCACTGACATTGTGTCTGGTTGTAGACAAATACGTGGTTGCATCGACCCGAAATGTATCGTCCCAAACCGACTCTGAAAGACCGACAGCACCTGTACAAACTCATCATCAGCCAGCTGCTCTACGATGGATACACTAACATCGCCAACAGCCTCATCAACGAGGTCAAGCCTCCGAACGTGGTGTCTCCCTCTGAACAGCTCATGCAGCTGGCAAAGATAGGTGAGAGCTCTGCCCTGGCTTCCTTCTGTCCAACAGATTCTGCCTTTACACTCCTCTCTCTATCTGTCCCAGGCATGGAGAACGATGACAGCGCTGTGCAGTACGCCATCGGCCGCTCGGACACGGTGGCGCCCGGCGTGGGCATCGACCTGGAGTTCGACGCAGACGTCCAGACCATGTCCCCCGAGGCGTCCGAGTACGAGACCTGCTACGTGACGTCCCATAAGGGCCCCTGCCGCGTGGCCACCTACAGCCGCGACGGCCAGCTCATCGCCACCGGCTCAGCGGACGCCTCCATCAAGATCCTGGACACCGAACGGATGCTTGCCAAGAGCGCCATGCCCATTGAGGTGTGACAGAAAGCATTTGTTTCCTGTGTGCTTCAAGTCGATTCCGACTCGGTAATCATCGATTCTTTTGTTTGTCAGGTGATGATGAACGAAACGGCGCAGCAAAACATGGAGAACCACCCGGTGATCCGGACGCTGTACGACCACGTGGATGAAGTCACCTGCCTGGCCTTCCATCCCACCGAACAGATCCTGGCCTCCGGCTCCAGAGACTACACCCTCAAACTTTTCGACTACTCAAAGCCGTCTGCGAAAAGAGCCTTTAAATACATACAGGTCAGATTTTATTGCCTTGCCTTTCTGCATTGGAAAAGAAGCTCTTTCCCACTCGCTATCGTTCCGGTTTAATCCTGTCCTCAGGAAGCTGAAATGCTGCGCTCCATCTCCTTCCACCCGTCGGGGGACTTCCTGCTGGTGGGCACGCAGCACCCCACGCTGCGCCTCTACGACGTCAACACCTTCCAGTGCTTCGTGTCGTGCAACCCGCTGGACCAGCACACGGACACCATCAGCGGCGTGAGCTACAACCCCACGGCCAACAGCTACGCCACCTGCAGCAAGGACGGCAGCATCAAGCTGTGGGACGGCGTGTCCAACCGCTGCGTCAGCACCTTCGACAAGGCGCACGACGGCGCCGAGGTCTGCTCCGCCATCTTCTCTAAGAATTCCAAGTACATCCTGTCCAGCGGGAAGGACTCCGTGGTCAAACTTTGGGAGATCTCCACAGGGCGAACGCTAGTCAAGTACACAGGTAAGCGTGATGAGCCGTGTTCACACCGTGGTGCGCATTCAAGTAGCCCCTTCCACTGGTTATTATTTATTATGCTACAGAGCTGAAGAAGCCTCGGATGAAGATACTCTTTCTTTTTTTTTATCACTTTGCGTTTAGCGTTACAACCAAACATTGTGTTAGTTAAATTAAAACCGCACTTTTGGAGTACAAAGTTAAAGTTAAAGTCACAGAGTTAATAATACAAAACAATTAACTCTGAATCCACCAGAGACCAACAATCCCCGGATGATGTGGATGTAAAAGTTCAGATTCAGGATAAGATAAAAAAAAGGCCAATAAAAAAAGAATAGCAACAAAAGATAGCAGGCATCTTTTTATTACTTACTTAAAATATTAATAATAACAATTGTAATGATACATCCAGATTCCTTATAAAGCCGCTCTTGTTCACACAATTTGCATATAGTACATTTTTATGGTTAAATATAGCAGAAATTAGTCAGTGGTCAATGACGGATTGACATTAACCTCATTCCGCTCTAAATGTTATAACCATAGCGTACTCTAATAAAAGTTCCTTTCAAGTAATTTGCAGACAATGGCTTTAGCTTCAGTTATCGGTGCAATTATCTCACACAGAGAAGGTTGGAAGCAACATAACGTTTTTTGAAACATCACGATAAACTGATTCCCTCAAAGGAGAGCCACGGCTAGGAACCCAATATGGAGGATTTGTAGTGCAGTCTGTGTGTTTAAGAGCTTTGCTCAATGGGCTCCAGTCCCCTGCTCAGAGCCAGCCTTTACGGGTTTTTTTTTGTTTCCTCCAGTTTTTTACTTTAAGAATCCTTGCAGCATTTTTGCTTGAATTGAACTCAAATCGACTCATGAGAAGGTTTTGGTCAACCCTGTGCAGTGTTAAGGGAAAACCATCAGAACAGCCTGTGTGATGCTAACGATCACCCTCCCAGACTCACAAGCGCTCAGACTCACAACCTGTTTTTGGTCAGGCACTCAGTCATCCAGGGATCTTTCTGGAACTTCTCACACCTCACTGCTGTTAGAATCACTGCAGAAATCCCAAGTTCACAACCCCTCCAGCACTGGCTTTTTTTTTTTTTTTTCCTGATGAGAGCAAGTTCGCTTAATGGCGAGCGTGTAGTGTGCTCATTGTACGTCACAAACTTCTTCTTCTTTTCCAGTAATACGTTTTCACTTTTCCACACCGATCCAAATTGGAGTGGGTGAAAATGACTGAACTGTTTTTAAGTTCATGCCAGGGATTCTCCAGCATTCTGTTTTATCAAGTCACATACATCATTACTCAACAGAAATGATACAGATACACTTTTTTTAAATGAATGTTGCAGAAATGGCTGCTCAAATGAGTAGAGATCCGATCTCCAGCAGGCAGCTGTCTGTCCTGTTTGTGCTTCCCATCACAGAAGGGGATTTTTCTATAAATGTGTGTTGTGTAACGCTGATGTCTAATGTCATCACAATCACACGAGCGAATTGTCGGAAGCTGTTTATGCAACAAAGATGAGACCAGGGTGATGAAATGGATGGGGACTTTTGTAGTTATTAGTTAGTAACTTCTTCAGAGTTTTCCACAGACCTCTGACCCCAAGCTGTGGACGCCAGCTGTTTGTGTTATGCTGACGCCAGGTTGTTTTGTTATCATCGCACTCTGTGAGCTTCAACATCTTACAGGGTGTAATAATATATGCTGGATTTTTGCTCATTTCCTGGACGCTTCTCCTGATCCTGTGTACATGATTTCGTTCAGAACACCAAATATTTGGGGCCTTGTTTCATGCTAAATCATTTCTCAAAGGGTTCTAGCTATTTTTGCCTTCATATTTGAAAATTTTCAAACAATTTGTCTAAGTTTATGCGCTGGAGATTAAAAGAAAGCGAAACTGATGGCTCTTGGGGCCAGAAATGAGTCGTTTGGTGGCCCCTGAAGTGGCGTCACAAAGAAAAAGAAATGAAAACTGGACATGCAAACTCATTTTTTGATATTGGCCTGTTCCTCCAGTGTTTGGACATCCGGTGGATCCACTGGTCATGTCAACAAAGCCATGATTAAGCCTGTGGTGACCTCTGTGTCTCAGACCTGTGGCTCATTTCACAGAATGACATGTTTTTAAAAGTGGCCTTAGACAGACCAAAGCCTAAGGAAAGCTACGTTTTGGCCGATTCATGCTGGTACGAGCCAGCTGACGGTCATCAGGTGCCAGGAAATGTTGGCGATTCCTAAAAAAAGGCATTCCCTCCTAATTCTCCCAGGTCTTCCGGCATTGTCAACGCAGCAGTCACGCACAAGTGTCACCACGGTGTTTAAATGTTTAAAAGTCCCCCACCTTGCCAGTGAGGGGCTGCACATTTTCCGGGTTTTTCCGAAAAGTCCGAAAGCACAAATATTTAAAAAGACATGTTCTGTTGGCAAATTATTGCTTTTATTAATAAGCAATCTTCATTCAGATACAGAACATTTTGTGTCAAATAATTGGCCCATTTTTTAAATTTCACATCTATTGTTGTGCTAACATATCATTAGTTTTTCTCACACAGTTAAGACTTTTTCCTCACCTGGAAAAAAAAATCCTAATCAACCAGTAGCACCTAATCTTTATAGATATACTTATATTATAAATAAACAGCCGATTCAAAGGTTAATGCACATTTAGATTGTTTGGAGTGTGGTTGAGTGCATTCCAGCACTTTAATCCAAAAATCCTATCAGAGGCTTTCAAAGTGTCAGACCTTGATTGAATTTTTTCTTAACAAATCGGTAGTACCCCGGCCGGGTACTTTTCCCCCAGTGTTTGATGATAAGCTAAAGTTATTTACGTCCAGTACTATTTAAGGAAAAAGAGCTTCTAGCATTTTTATCCAGTTTTACTCATCTCTATTTGCTAAAGCCAGCATGCACCCCCACACAGGCAGGTTCCAGATTTCTCCTCCATCACGACCCCCTCCCTCTGTGCACCCACGCCCCCGGCTGAGGTCTGAATCACTCTGAGTCACACCTGACACATTTGGAAAAGTCCATCACTTGAAAAGTGTCAGGTTGAACACATCACCTGCCAGTGAGCCCACTCTTCCCCCCCCCCCCTGCCCGGGCCGCCCTCTTTTTGTCTTGAAAATCCGTCAGGAAATGACACTTTTATTTTTCTATAAAAACAGCAAGTTACTTGGAGCCTTGTTAAACACAACATAATGTTGAATAGTCCTATAAAATGTTAAAACAATAGATAATAACACCATAACACATCCATTTTCTGAACCGCTTATTGCCTAATGGGGTCGGGGGGGCGGAGCCTATCCCAGTAGCCAATGGGGAGAGGCGGGGTCACCCTGGACAGTCCCCAGTCCATCACAGGGACACACAGAGACACACAAGGACCAACAACCACACGCACTCACATTAAGGGCAGTTTGGAGTCCAACCAACCTAACATGCAGGTTTTTGGACGGTGGGAGGAAGCCGGAGAACCCGGAGAGAACCCACAGACACAGGAGAACATGCAGAACCACCCAGAAAGGTCCTGGTTCCCCCGGGACTCCAACCCAGAACCCTCTGGTCCTGGT